ACTCTTTCACTATTAGCTGAAGCAATATCAACTATTTTAATATAAATTTTATAAAAATCAAACTACCAGTCATAAAACATCAAGAGTCTTGCAGAAAATGTTATGAGAAATGGTCTGTTATTGTAACAAGTTTCTCGGGAATTAGTAAAAAAAAAATCTGCAGTCTTCCTGGTAAACTGAGATAGGAGATAATCTTTTACCACGATGCAGTAATATTCCGACTGAAGGTAAATCTAGATTCTTCAGTTGCAGTCAGCTTGGAAAGCATTAATCCTACTCTCCTGCCCAGAACTACAGCAGAATGCCCCATGTTAACAGTGGGACAGGACAGAGATGATACTTGGTTACTTCCTCTCCATAAGCCCTTGTGACAACATTTTTGAAAGATTTATCAGCACTGCATTCTCCTAATTGTTATAAGTGACTAAGAGTTAGGGCTTCACACCGTGTAGTGCTGGGGAGCACCTTGTGGCTTGGACCCATTGCATGGAAAGGCAGCGTGAGGTCCCCGGGACAAAAACATAACATCAGAGTGGTGTGACAGCCAAAAAGTTTTCAGTTTGTTTTTAACAATCATACTAGCACAGGAGATAGGATGAACTGAGGCTCGAGTTGGACTGTGATGTTGCTAGCAGTGTGAGACTGGCATTGGCCAGCAAGGACAGGTGGAGGAGGGGAAGAAGGGTCCTGCTTCTGAAATGCACCTGTAACTTCCCTCTTCTCCCTCTCCTTCCGTCCTGCGTATCAGTCCTCCAATATTTTAAAAAAATAATAATCTGCCTAAATAGGTACGAGGATTTGTCCTCCAGTGCCCAGTTTGGCTGTGACCTGTTTTTGCACAGAAGCATAATAAGACAAAAGTTGAGCCCAACAGCAGGGTTTTTAAGCAGGTCTGGAGCGCCCAATGTGTTCTAGCCGGAGCAGTTGGACGAAGACCATTGACCTGATACTCCTACAGTGGAGTAGTTGCCAACAGAGTGGCAACAACAAGCCCCGTGGCTAACTCTTGAGTTTTGTGATATCGATAGGAGAGGGACCCCCAGCCTTTCCCACTCGACCACAGTGCTCAGCGCTGATGAGCAGCTTTGCCTTCCAGTGGAGCTGTGGAGTATCACATGCTGTTCAGGGTCCAACACCATGGCACACCATTTCATGCATGTGCAGCCCCACCAAGACAGGTAGAATTTAACAAAGTCATTGCATCTGAGGGATGCACTTCAGGTTTGGAGTGTGGTGGACCCAGATGCAAGCCTTGCTTTTTTTTCTTTATGCTCTTATGTATTTTATGCACAATAGTTTTATCAGTGTTGTAGAAAAAGATAATTGTAATGTATTTTAAATAAAGTAATTTTTAAATGAACTTTTTTGGAAAAAAAACAGGTCAGGTCTTTCTTGTTTGCAAATGCCCTTTTGCAGAAGTATCTTCAATCTTTGGTCTCAGCATTTCCATCACAAACATACTTAAAGTATCACAGACAAGGTAGAGATATTCTCATATTTTACTTTGTTTAAACCATCTTGACATGATCATTTGTTGCCATTTTAAATAATGAGAATTGGGCTGCTGGATAAAACACAAACACAGAAACATATCCCTCTTCTTAGCTGTATCTTAGCTGGAACACGACATCCATTTTGCAGCATCACTTTTGAATGAAAAAAAAACATTTCAGGACAGCAACAAAGCTATGATAAGTTTAAAAAAGTATCTCCTCATGGGAGAGCGTGCAGACAGTTGGCCATTTTCAGTGTCGTGAAAACACTGCTTGGGCCTGTTTTCCTAAAGCATCCATTGACACTGTTGAAAAGTGGATCCTAAACCTTTCTAGAGCACAGCCTAACTAGGCACGTAATGGGAGGGAAGAGGCTACGTGTTGGTTGTCTCTTGCATTGCAGTTGACTGGCTTCTTTCTCCTTTGTCCTTGGTCTGTCCAAAATCCTGCTGCTGAAGTGATCTCCCCTTGCTGTTGGATGTGGCCGTGTTCCTCCTGTTGAACACCCTCACTGGGTTTCCATTTTCACATTCCCGCTCCTTGCCATTATTTTGTGTCTGTTTTTCCTCCTGTGCAATTTCTCCATCCCAGTGCCTTCTCCTCTCTTGCTCCTTGGTCGCCAGACTCCTGTGCTGCCCCCTTGCCTTGAGCCCCTTCTGGCCTGTGCTTTCTGTGCCTTCCCTCTCCTGCCTTTCCATACCTGTGTAGTTGTAGGATTTAATCTCTCTGGGGCAAGGCCACGTGTCTTGGTGTCCAGGTTTGCAAAGCAAGTGCCTTGCTCTGGGTGGGATTTCTGTTGAACCATAGTTGTGTACCTCCATCGTGGTTGTGCCCCATGGAGGTGAGGGAAACCTCACAAAGTCAGACTTAGCGTGAAGAGCTGGGTAGCCATCTGAAAATTCCCACCATGCAGAGCTTTCCAAATGGATATAGGAAAAAAGAGTGAGGCTTCAGATGGGACTGGGTTACAGTCCTCAGACCCCCTGCGCAGAGCCGATCCTTTCATCCATGGCAGAACAGTCCTTGCCCAAGAACTCTATCAGTAGATCAAGAGCTTTTTCCTGCATGTCTGCTAATAATCCCCATTTCTGGACCATCTGCACTCCAGTGAGTACCACCAGTGAGAATTTGCTCCCATCGTTGGCCGAGGAAGGCCTGATGACTTCTTTTGTATGACCTCGCTGACCCAGAGGGGCTACTAGTGACATTCTAGTTTTATATCACTCGGGCTTCCTGACCTAAGGGAAAAACAGTTTAAAGAAATTCTTCAGATTTTTTTACTTCTCCTCAGTGCTTTGAAACTGAGAGACCTCTATTTTTCATAATTTAAACTCCTGCCTAACTGGGTGAGTGTTTGAATTCCTAGACTATGACAAAACGCTAGCGTGTGTCTGCCTGAAATGTCGAGAGGATCTTTAATAACCTCCATCCACCAGGAACGGCGTTAAAAGCATTGCTCAGATGCTGAGTGAAAACACCACAAACAAGGACCCCGGCCATTCGGAGGCAGGCACGCTGCTCCGTTCCGCCGAGGGGGCCCGGAGGAAATGCCGCAGGGTGTGCCCCGTGCTGCCCGGCTGCCTTTCCCTCCTGCCGCCACGCAGGTGCAGGCAGGAAGCTTTCAGGTGCCTGCTTTTTATTTATTTTGGCTAGAAGATGTTATTCTTCCGCAGTAGCCTGCAGACCAAAATTTAATGCACCGGTGACCCCACCAAGCAGCCCGTGTGCCCAGTGACTGCTCCGAATGAGAGATTGCACAACAGAGCTGCGCTGAGAGTACAACTGTTTTCTGGGTTTTGATTTGTTTTGTGTGAAGCATGGCAGCTGAGGGCTGAGACCTCTCCTTTCTCTGAAGAGGTCCTCGGAGGACTCTCAGAGGGAGAAGCTTCTGCTGCAGCGTTGTGATAAGAGCCCATCGCTGCCCTTCGGCTGTTCCGTGAAGTCCGGCGCAGATCTGGCAATGAGGTTGCAGGAGATCTGCTCTAGGTGTCAGGTTTTCTCTCTTGCCATTGAGATTTTTGACAAAGCAGCTGTTTGAAAAGCCCAACGGTTTTTGCTTTTGCACTTCCAGAGCATGCAGTGGTGACACCATTTTTCCCTTTATTTAATTTCTGTCTTGGAAACACGTGTGCCAAGTTTTGTCCCATCACGATGCCTTTCTGGCATGGTCAAAAACCCCTCGCCTTGCGTAGAGCAAAACAACCTTGACTGTAAGGTTATGAATGGGGATTTATGACCAAGTCTCCGTTTATATACACTTAGCCCAACTTTACTGCTACAAACAGATGACGATGATAAGCTGCGCAGGTTGTTTAAAGTTTTGCTGGAATGCGAGCCCAGTTCGCCTCTTGGCACCAGGAATCTGGCTTGTCTGAAGCGAAAACTCAGCTCTGCAAAAATTGTCATTTGTAAGAACCTGATCCAAGTCCTGTTGGAAACAGGAACCTTTTATTGAGCATGTAGGTTAATAACACTCCTTTTTCGTTAGCATTATTTCTTAATATCTTCCCACTGTATTTTTTTTTTTTTGGTTTTTTGGTTTTTTTTTTGAAGAGCAGCTGGAAAAACTCCTATTAGCACATCCAAAAAATTTCTTGTTTCCAAAAATAACAAGATTTAGTGCCTGGCAGTGGGAAGCCGTCCTGGCCCAGGATGTGGACGGTGTGATCCCCAGACACCAGCTGGTTGCAGATCTCCACCAAAAAATGCAAGAGACATCCAGAGCAGGAACTTCACCCTAACTTTTGGGCGTGATGTGACTGATGAGAAAGGGCGAAGGCATTGGTCCTGTGGTGTTGGGTGCCCTGGGATGAGGGCTTTAGGGACAGTTCCTGATGTTGTTAGCCTTTCCCACCCTGCTGCCCTCAGGGATGAGGGATGCTCCTGCCCCGCATTTGGGACGTCCCTCCTCAGTTCCCAGCCTGGCAGCCCAGGGTGGGCGGCTGAGGGGCTCTGCCACCCACCCAGGTAACAGCAGAGGCTTTTCTAGAGCCAAGGCCACCCGCCATGCCCTGCGGAGGTGCCTCCTGCAGTTTAACAACAGCTGTCTCTGCGCTGGCTGCAAAGCCTGTATGTGGCGTCAAAGCCGTGGTCCATTTGTGCCACTTGTTTTCTGGTGTAAAAGGAGGCAAAAGCATCTTGGAGCCGCTGCCTCGCTTGCTTTCTGCTGATCCTCCTGAGCTGGAGTGGGGCTGGTTAATAAACATGATTCACTGTTGTCTTTTAGCTGTCAGGGCTAGAGTGAAGCTCTTGGTGCCGGCAGGTCTAGCTCTTCTCACTCAAGGGCTAATGCATTTTGCTTTGGGAAATCGTGACACCCAGCACCACGCTTTAGCTTTACCTCACGAAAAGACCATATACAATTTCCGAACTACTCAGCAATAAAACTCTTCTGTCTCGTGCCTTGGTGCCAGCTGTTTAATTAGGAATAAGCAGAGGCTGGGTTTTATTCGTACGAGTAACAGAGGATGTTTTTTCCCCCCCTTTCAGCTTGCAAAAGATAAAGAGCGCCTGCAAGCCATGATGACACACCTGCACGTGAAGTCAACTGAACCAAAAGCCACCCCTCAGCCCGTAAGTACCCAACTGTGCTGAGAGCAAACAAAAGCTCACAACAAACCTCTCTTTCCTGTTCCCCACCGGAGCGCGTGATGCAGAGCGTGGCTGCTTCAGAGCCCGTCACGGTGGGGAGATGCAAAGCGCTGCTTTGCAGGAGACGCCACCACGGGCACTGGGGCTTCGTGGTCTCCCTCCTGTCAGGGACTTTAAAAGTTTTGCTCTAGAGCTGATGCATTGGGCCTTTTGGTGACCTCATGTACTACAACTGTAGGTTGCTTTGCATCAGTCCAACTTGTATGAAATCTTAGGAAGTGTTAGGAAGGAGATGTAATTAAATTATGTTTAGTATATTTATTTTTCTTGCTCTGTGTCTGACAGACATTTACAGTAGAAGAGACTCTAGCTGCACATTTTGATGATAATCGCGGTTACCCAGTATCAGGTTTTACACTGTTGAAACTGAGAAGGGAAACCTTCTCCACCCCAGATTGCCATTTAGAAAAGGGAGTGTGGGGGAAGCAAGTGGCTCTGCAGCGCAAGGCAACTCCTGGGTACCCCCAAGCCCAGGCAAATCCCCTGTTTCATTCCCTGACCTAAATGACTCTTCTTCAGCTGTTGTTTTCTCCCAACATCTTAACGCTGAAAATGTTCCTTAGAGCTTCCAATGATTATTCAAAATGGAGAGAGTGCTTTGCTTCTTGATTTTAAGATTTGTAAGATTTAAAGGTACACTGGCTTTATTTGATTTTGCTTTGAGTCATTGTATGAAAATTAATTGAGCGTTGACAATCTATAGTTAGTACTAGCAATTTTAATCAATATGCAATGATGCAGCATAATGACAAAGTATTGGTTTATCTGTTTTGACTGATTTTTTTTCTATAAATAAAG